TACAAACTGTGTATAGACAAAATATTAAAAATCTGTGCAGACACAAATTTGCAGAATTCTTCTAGTAGTAGAACTCAAAGTGGATGATCACAGAATGCTTGTTGGAATGCTCCCTTCCAGTGTAGCATTTAAAAAACCTTATCATAATGAGTTAATGAGCAATATTGTCATTGCGTGACTCGTGAAGAGCAGTAGGGGTTCAAAGGCTAAAAGATCATGGTTGATAAATATATGTGCTTCTACATGCTTTTGTTGCACGCTAAACTTCTTAGTACTGTGTTTTTAAATTCCATCCTGTTCAAAATGTTCTTGGTAGATTGTACAGTCTTAATTATTGAAATATGCAAGAAGAAACTTAGTAATTCTATTGAGGTCTTTATATTCTCTGTGTAGTATCACATCAGGTATTCCTGTATAAAAAACATTTCATAGAATATATTGCATAATCTTCTGGAGGAAAAAAAAAGTAGGTTTAGTTCTATTCATATCTCTTTTTAAATCAAAGATTTACAAGCACCCACCCTCCAAAACTGAAATGCTTGAGTTTTTTATACTGTTAGCCTTGTAACTTAATTGCTTGTCCCCTTCCTCATTCATGGTCAGTAATTCATGAAGGGGAAGCACTGTCAGTAAATGTTTTGTCTGTCTAAAGAGTAATGGGTGCAAGTCACCTAAGTGATATTCTGATTTTTAATGCTGAAGTCTTAGGTTGAGCTTGAGGTATTAGTGAGCTTGGCCTTCGCAAAGTAAGATTGGTAATATAAAAGTTATGACATGCCAACTGTGCAGGGCAGGGGATGTATATATGTGTACAGACACGTAATATTGAGGAAGCACATACACACACCACCCTAAAGGTCACTGCCATCTCACATCAGATGCCTCTGTGAGGAGGTCTCAGGTATCGCAGTTTGGGAATTCTTGTTTTTGCTTGGAATGGGCAGTGAATTTAATAACCATTTACCGATGAATATGGGAGCTCCCTGAATAAGTGCATTGTCTCCAGAGGTTATCTTTATTCCATGTTACTGCTTTTCAGTTAGCTTGTGTTTGACCTTCTTCTGGTCGGTTAGTAACAAGTTATTTAAAAGAGAGAAGGAAATATGTGGGAAATTTTTAGGCTCTGCAGATTATGAATGCTGAAAATAAAGAGGGTCAAAGAGCTGTGGGAGTCAAGGTCTGTGTTCTCTTTATGTACTTTAGTATTTTTAAGAGGTGGCCCTGTGTTTTTCCCTGTCTTATAGAATATATCATATGGGGTTTTGTAGGTTCTAAGTAGCAAAGTCAGGATTGAGATCCATTGAGGTGATGATGCCTTTGACTTGTCAGGCCTGAAGATATTTGAGCTGTTCTGTTGACTGGTTGAAAGGTCATTATGGTCAGTTGGAACACTCATTTAATCTTCCCTTGTTCCTGTATCTGAAAAGTGGGTGTGAACACATATTTGCAAAGTGCTCCCGATTTAGAGCTGAAGGTGCCACGCAAGCTGCTGTGACTCTTACTGTTGCTTATGGTATCAAGCAGTAACTGCCATTACTTTTTTAACAAACCACTGATTTCTAGTATAACTCCTTTGTAATAAGCACAGTGTAATCAATACATGTTAAAGCCATTCAGTGCAGTGTTTACGAATCTACTGTAGAAAAATGTGTTTTAATAGCATTCCATTCCAAGCAAGTTTAGATGTTTTTAGGGTATTTTGCCTAGAGCTGAAAGCTTTCCAAGTCTTAATGCTGTAGGAAATTATTTTCACGACTGTTTGAAGAATTGATATTAAACTTTAACCAGAAAGTGCAGTTTGCCAAAAAGCCTTTACTGAATGTGAGGATAGATTTGGCAGTGGGTATATGATTCAGAAGCAACTTCTGGTATAACATAGGTGTATTTTACATTATGGGGGTTGCTGATGAATCTAGGTTTGTTTTAGAAGTGAGACTTTGTACCCAAGTCTGCCCTTATCGTGCAGTGCATTAGTCACACTAGGATGCAGAATTTTAAAATTTGTAGGTCAGCACTTCAAACTGAAGCAGAATGCAGCAATGCAAAATGAGTAGCACAAGCCTAGTGACCATTACTGCTGAAAGTCTGAGAGATGTAATGTGCAATGTGGGGATGATTGCTTCTGGTTTAGACAAGAAAAAAATATCTTGAAAACATATAGATGAAACTGGTATTCTTTTTGCATGTCTAAAAAGTAGCAGTGTAGACAGTGGGGTTTTTAATATGATGCAGTGAGGTGTAAGCTTACCTACAGCAAGTCACTGATTTAATTAGGCATGCAGTTAATGCATAGAAAATATATAAATTGGGAAATGAATCTGTTTCATGGAGCTGAAGTGAAGGTGCATAGAGCGGTGTGATGATAGAAGAACCTTTGAGGGAATTGAGGAGACTGGATAAAACATGGAGAACATGAACTCAAAAAGACAAGTTCATGCCTCTTCTTCCATTCTCCTAACTAACTTCTAAGCTATTTACTTTGCATCAAATTTGGCCGTAGGCATCAAAGAAAATAAATTATTTTAAGAATATGATTAGTGGACAGGGGACTGAGAGAGACTGTTGTAGGGATTTCTTTGCTCCTGCAAATGACTGGGTTCATGTCAGACACCAGTGTCCATATAACACCAAGTACTGGAAACTGGTATGGGTAGCAACTAAATTGGTATAGGTAGTGACTTTGTAGACAGCAGACTCCACCTACAAGGCTCATATTTGTAGGAATTTCACTGAAACTGTTGGGAACCTTAATGTAGAATAACAATATTGAAGCAATTTGAAACAATCTCCTGTCATATTTTAGTAGTTAGAATTAGCTGTTACCTAATGGAAATTCAGTTGAACTTCAGAAGTTTTCAGGAGGTCAGTGCTGGATGTTCTCTGAGGGCAGAATATCCACTGCTGCCTTGGACTTACTGATGGCTTGGTTCAAGTGCTGATCCAACTGTCTGACTCCCTGAGAAGAGCCTGATGATCCTCCTTTCCTCCCTTCACCAATGCCTAAACATGCATTGCAGGTATTCTGGTTGGGTATGACACTGATAAGGCTAACTGCAATTAAATATCCTCAAATAAGATTAAAATTAACTATTTACCAAAGGGCACTGGCTGCTAATTGAGTAGCTTAGCAGCATGCTGCAGTGCCATCTGGGAACCCAAATTCAGAAAGTTATATGGGATCCTAGATTTCACACTGGGATTATGGAAGAAATAGCATACTTAGCATCTGGGGAAGAGTCCCCAAAGGAATGAGCAGCAGTCTCAGAAGAGTAGAGTTTGTGTAACTACTCTTAATAAATATAATTTAGATGGGAGTGCTGGTAAAATGCAATTTTAAAGAAATTTTTGCTGGTGAGCACTGTACAAAGACTCAAACGGAAAAGGTTGTCAGAAGAGCAAAGATCACAGTTGAGATAAACGTTTCAGACTGAAAACTGCCATTGTCCTCACGTAATCCGAATATTAAAAAAATTAATCTGTTAAACCATCCCTCTTAACTTCTTTTAAGTTCGATGAGTATATTTTCATGAAGGCAGGATATTGCAGGTGCTGGGGAAGCAGCACTGCAGCTCTTCCAGGCCCCTGGATGTGTGCTAATGAGCCGCACAAAACTCGCCAGTGTTAAGCAACAACATTCATAGTTGTTCAGCAAAATAAGATGCCTGGTTACTTGAAATGAAGTCAAGTCCACTCAAAATGCATCTGTTTCCTCACTTGATATTCACTGTCAAAAATATTTGGGCCTAGGAGCCTGAATCTGTATCCCAGCAGAGCTCTTGCTATCCTATGCGAAGTTGTACTTGAATGCATCCAAAATGGCAACTCTTGTTCTGTCCTTATTGACCAACAAACGTGGCAAACTGGAGAATCTCTTCTGTTCCCCAGTCCCTACTTAGCTACTTGAGTGAAATATAAATTTGGTATGGGTACTTAACTCTTGTTTAAGCATGTACCTAAATCCCATTGATTGAAGTTATCTGGATGAATTTATTACTTATTTGTACTATAATTGATGATGATGATGAAGTCCATTCAGAGGAGATTTGAGCTGCTCAGTACAGTGCTTTACACAAATAGATTGGAGATACAACCTCAGTAGACATTACAAAGGGAAAGGGAAACAGCTAATACAGATGTAGCTTGTAGTGCTGTTGCTATGATTGTCAATGCTTTCCATAACAGAACCGGTTTGTCTGGCTGATTCAAAAATTTAATCTGAATTCTATAAGAAGCTGCCTTGGGCTGCTTACTGAGTGGCAGTGGGGTTGGGGAGATGTCAGGGGGGTAGAAGGGAGTCACTTGGAAACCATTTCTGAAAGGCTGTTGGTAAACTTACTTTTTTTAAATTAAAAAAAATAGCTTTGTTAAGAAGTTTGGGAGTTTAGTGAGCAGCTATTATGCCTGAAGGCCAAAAGTTACTTCTTCCCAGCAATTAGTCCATACTGCAGTAAAGTTTGTTTTGCTGTTGGTTTCTTACATATAGTACAACAATTTAAACTAAACAGCAGTGGGTAGTTTAGGTTCCCAAGTACAGACCAACTCTTGAAATGACCCAGGCAAACGATGTGGTTACACCTTCACAACAGAGACATGCAAAGGGAGATAATAACAGCTGCCTGGGCAACCTGAACCCTGGTATCTCTAATTAGTCCTTAACTTGCAACTTGAGTGTTGTTTTAATGCAAAGGGAGACTGCTTGTGTGCATCTTTAAAAGCTGTGAAAACAGACTGGAGGAGCCCCACAGTCTTCACAGGGATCATCAGAGGGCTGGGATCTTGAAGTGGTACAGGCCTGCATCATAAATTAAAGCTGATATATATTCATTTGCATGATGAATCTACTTTACAAGTAGATTTGACACTGTGACTTTCAAGTTTCATGTTTGTTCTAGTTTTGAATACATTATCAGGTGAGGATTACTTGAATGTGAAGACATAAGTGAGAGGAAAACATGTTGTTAATCTTTGCTTTATTAATAACAGATTTAACGTAAAGCTGTTCAAGTGCAGTTTCACAGAGAAACCAAGCCAAAACTCTGAGGAAAAGGATGAATGGCAAAACAGATGAGGAATAACACAGGGGGTTTTTTATTATTTTTTCTTAATATCTAGTATTTTCTGTCCTACCTTCAAGTAGTGAGGATGCAGTATGTCTTGAAGTGGCTTGAAGAGTGAATTAACAGCAGAGGAAATTAAAACTTCTCCTTACGTGATGTCTGTATGTAACCTCAGCAAAGATTGCAGTTTAGGAGGAAATTACACAGCAAACTTGAAAGTAAACTGTATTTAATCTCTAAAACTAGCTATCAGAAGCTTTTACACAAGAAATATGAAATAGCAGATAAGACATCTCCCCATGACACTTCATAATTAATAATTTGTAAGTTACTAGTGCACTGCCTGTGTTTTCTGATAATTGAGTATTTCAGAAACTTGATTCATCATCCTAGTTTTAATTCAAGGAAAAGTAACTGAAATTGGAAAAAAGACTGTACTGTTGGGATTGGATAAATATTCTTTTCCAGGAGAACAACTAATGTCATTTGTCCACAGACAAGGTATTCCCTCAGTTATTAGGGTAACAGAAATGAAAAAAAAAATGTACAAATTGTTACAGAGGAAATAATTTATCGTCTTTTGTAAAAGGTTGGGAGAGAAGCTATTGGGACAGTTAGGGAAGATAGCTGAAATGACAGTCATGTTGGAAATACAGTTAAGTACTAGGAAATAGTCCAGTGGCCACTTATTTTCAGTTTGCTAACAGTTCCTCTTGCAGAAGCTGAAATACGAACCAGGGATTACTAGACTGGCTAAGAAAAGTTAAGGCATTTGACTATCTAATTTAATTAATAAAACTAATTTGCATTCCATTAAACTAATCAAACAAGATGGAGACCTAAACACAGTAATATTGTCAAATGAAAAAGCTTTAGCCTTCCCACAGATCACAGTTGTCCAGTAACCTGTCTGCCTATACATCCAGTTATGCCAGAATTCTGTTATGACTCCAGAGCAGAAATCATTCAGCTTTGACTTAGAAAAAGGCTCGTTTTATCTGTCCTTAATTTTGACATAAATGGTGTCTGCAGTGCTCACACTGAAATCGATGAGGACCTACTCAACAGCTGCATTCAGACAATGCTCCTCAGCACTGAGTATTATGAGTTCATTTGGTTTTAAAACACTCAGATTTGGAGTCAAGAGTGTAGGAAAACTTAATGAAAACCTGCATTTTTAAATTGATTGAAGGCATTCCAAAGGCAATAAATCTCCTTTGAAATAAAAATAGAGCTGGCTGCACACCTGGCTGTGTGAGCTGTCCCGGAAGTGCTCCATGTGAATTAGGACACGTGTGGGAGTTGCTGAGCTTTGGGGAGGCTTTGCATGGTAAGGCGCATTTGCTGTGCTGTTGGAAAGTAGCTCTGGATGGGAGAGACAGTCTGATTTCTTATGTATGATGTGCGACAACTTAATAGAATAGAGTGTAAGATGGGTTTGGGGAAAGTGGTTTGTTTTTTTTTATTTCCTGTTTCTCTTCTGCACGCATTACATCTTACCTTTGATTCACAGATTGTCCTAGCACTCCTGATACTCCCAATAGCGATCCTCGGTTTTCTACTAACAACAGATTGATGGCCTTAAAGAAGCAGTTGGATATAGAACTGAAGGTAAAACAAGGAGCAGAAAATATGATACAGATGTACTCAAACGGCTCTTCAAAGGTAAGGCTTTGGAACACTTAAACTTGAAATGACTGTGGATTTTCATATTGCTGTGGTGTGACTGTGCAGTGTATAAACAGTGTGCAAGTTCAGTATTTTTAGTTTTATATATATATATAAAAAACTATATATATTTACACTATATATATATTTAGTATTTTTAGTTTGGGGTATATTTTTGTTAAACAGTGATGTCAAGTCTGCTACAAATTACTATAGCGTGTTTTGTTGTGATTTGATACCCACTCAAGTGATTGTTTTATCAGTTTGTCTAGATGCAGTTCAACCTCAATAACAAATCCGACTTACTAAATTTAGTACATCTAGTAATCTTCGGCCATGTGTGATTCACTTAGCAGCAAAGCTTGGTATGACACTGGCTGCTGTCTGGTGCTCTTCCTAGCTTCACTCAAAAGGAAAAAAACATAAGTTTAAAACTGTAATGTGTGTGATAATTACAAAAAAGGCAGCATGCCAAGTGTGCTCCTGGAATGGTCATGTAGTTGCAGTTAGCAGTAAAAAGATCTGCACCAAATACTTATTTCAATAAGATGTGTATATTGTTCTGATAGAGTTGTCATAACCTGCGTTGTTGCACGTGCACATAAGATACATGTGGAAATAATTTTTTTTATGGCAGTGTGGTATTCTAGAGGTATCATCTGATCGCATAATGTGAAATTATAAATAAAGCAACACTAATTCCTTGGTCCAAATTTTAAATGTTTCCACTCACTCTGTCTTGATAGCACCCAAGTTTTTCCAAGGAGATAGGGGAAAGTGTTTGCTAATCTCTAAACGGGTTCAACTTATTACATACTACTTAACAGGTAATAAAATTCATCATAGTCTATGAATCCCTTAACTCAAGTGAAAAGACATGACAAACCTTTTAAATGAACGAAAACAAAAATAATCAACAAAAACAAAACCAGAAACTAACCAAATTAATACAAAAAAACCAACACGTATTTTATGAGTATGAGGGAGTCAGAGTTCTCAGAAGAAAGGGAGGAGATCCTCTACTTACCTGCCCCTTCACCTTTCATTTGTTACTCATTACCTGATCCTTTAATTTACTTCTACTAAATCATTAAGGAGGTGAATTTCCAAACTAAGGGGAAACACAAGCATAGATCTAACAAACAGTATGTAGTACCTTGGTTAGATGTTTCTGTGTCCAGACAGTAGTAAGTAGAATTGAAATGTTTCAAGATCTTAACTGAGCCAACACCTAGCTAGGTCAGTGAACTTAGTGAAAAGAATTGTTTGGCTTGAAGAGTAAGCATCCATGAATTATGTTGCTGCCCCTTATAACTGATGCTAACCAGAAAGTGTTGGAAAGGAACTTCATGTTTCTGGAGGAATTTGTGCTAGGGATTGGTGGAGAGGCAGATCACTTTATATCTGCCTACTGTTTGACTTTCTTTTAGTTCAAAACAATGTCAGTGAACACTGTTTGCCCCCCAGAAAAGTGAGTTTAGACTAGATGGACCATAGGGGCCATCAAGCTCATTCTGTCCCAGGTAACCTTATCTGAAAGTGGCCTGTAACATACTAGCTTGGGGCAAATGGAAGAAATACCTGGAGTGTACATTATGACTAAGGGCCTGGGAATGTTGGCCATGCACCACAGTGCCTCAGCTCCTGGAAACCCTTGGAGTCTATATCCTCTGGGGCCATGTACTTAACATCAGGTACACTTAAAACTAATAATCAGCTGACCCAAATGGATCAAAAGACATACATGAATTAGGTTCCTAATAAACCCTCAGTAAGTAACCTTATAACAGGCTGAAAAACTTAACTAAATGCTCAGGCTGTAATATTAGACATTGTTAGCAGGCTTTGATCAGACTAGGTCGAAAGGATAAATTCTGCCTTGCTTTATGACTGAGGCATGTAATTAAAATTTATGATTGAATCTTGTATTTGCAATTGGTAAATACTTAAATCAGCCTACCAGACTGGGGGTATATAGTAACTGGGCTGCAGAGAGCAAGCTGGAAAGCACCAGGGCATTGCCAGCTGCCTCAGCACGCAGGATGGAGATGGTGCGTACTCATTCTCTCGTTTCTTAATACTCAGTAGTGAGTTGGGTTGGCAGATCTGAACCATAGGCTTGAGCATGCTGATTATGCTTTAAAAAGCAGAGCTTAAAAGAACCCAATGTCTGGATGAGGTGGGCAAAAGGGGCAGGAAATTCCCAGTTTGAATCCAACCCCAGTAATCCTGTGGTTCTTTAAAAAGTAGTCACAGGACCCTCTTTAAAACCATACCAAATTAATTTGTGACCTTTATTCAAGTGTACTATATAATCTAATTTCAAGTCTGTTGTATTATTTTCAGATCTAAATTTAATGGAGGGAGGTAATAATTTTTTTCTGAAAATGAAGAAGCAGTCTGTTAATAAACCCATCATCTCATGGGAAGCTGTTCCCTTTGCACTTACTCTCCTTGCTTCAGTAACATTCTGCTCAACCTATTCGGACTTAAGTGTTTCTGAGATAACGATCCTCTTTTCTTGGGTGTGTGTGGGTTCTCCCAGATCCCATGACAGCTTTGCAGATCAGTTTTACAGGCACTGTCAGTTCTTCTGTACTCCGAAGATACATTGAAATACTTTGTATTCAGGCTCTAACACTAAAAGAGCTGCTGAGTATTGCACATCCATTCGGATTGTGAAGATGGGAATCAGTACTGTCTCTTGAAAACATAAGGATATCTCTATAATCCTGAATTGCCTCCATTCTACACATTTAAGGGATGATGTTGCCCCTGAGCAAGCAAACTTCTTGCAGTAAGAGGATATGATGGACAATCAAAAGCAGCAAGATCAAAAATAAGATAAAAGTGAAGATACAGACAAAGAAATACAGTGTATTTATACATCAGAATGATGCATGGATAAGGTTTAATACAGGATTGTAGAGGTGCTTGTAATCTGTTACTTAGCTCCTATGCTCTGCTAAAGACAGTGGTTGTTTCAAAAGTTCACATTTGTATTTGAGAAGGCATTGGCTTAGGAAATTCAGTGTGATCATTAACTAGTCGGATAGTGGAACATGGAATCTTAAAATATGAAAACTAGTGGGATCTCCCTGAAATGTTGCTTAATACTGAAACTTAAAACCAAGAGTTCTGAGACTGGTGGTCAGAGGAGGCACAATTTCTTCCCATGCAGCCAAAGCCTTTTATGTGTATCTGTTGGCATATATGCCCTGCAGAACATGGGGCATCATCAAAATATCTGAGTGAGTAATATGTTAGGTGCAAGGTCATAGAGGAACTCTATGAAGGTAAATTTTTCAGCATACAGATTTTTCTCACAACATGCTTCATGGTGCCAGCATTTCTAGCTCTGGGATCTCTCTGCTTCACTGCAGTTCTTTGTCTTCATTGTGGCAAGGGAAAGAATTTAATTTCTTTTTCTTAAATAATTGATAACTTCATTATAAAATTAAAAATATAAGTATAAACCATGTCTATGGGAAAGTAACTTATTAATGAGGTTATAGAGTAGCTACAAAATGAGTTAACTAAAATACCCTTTGGGCTGTAACAAGTGTGATACACATCTGTGCTGAGTGCTGTTAATTACTGTGATGGATTGGTACTGCATGGACAGGACAAATAGACTGCCTTAAGTTTCCTTATACCCTTTTTTTTTTTTCTTCCTGCAAGTCAGATCACCTTTAAGTTATCTGGTAATTCCCAAAGCATAGAGAGAGATCTATGCAGCAGCCATAGAAGTTCATGAAAGTTCATCTTCAGGAATGTTCTCTGCTAAACTTCTCCTTGTGATACTGCTTTTGAAAACAAAAATTGGCTATCTTAGTTTATTTAGATACTTAAGTACTGTACTTAAGCTGCAGATGAAAATAGCTAATGAAGTAGCCCTTGTTTATGTATTTATTAGTGCAATATTCAGCTTTGACTTGTTCAGGAAAACATACTGCAGACTTTATTAATAGTGTCCTGTGTAAGGTAACTTCACCTCTATAATTTGAAAATCAGCTCAGGTGAATTACTAGAATTATTTTTACATGGACTTAGGACTAGCAAATGTCTCTATTACAAGAGCTGTTACCATACAGAAAATGCAAGTCATTCCACGTAGTGTGGAGGCATTTTGCACTTATTATCTTCACCTTTCCTTAGTATCAGCTGACAAACATTAATCTACACACGTAATGTTGCTAGATGCTGCCTCCTTCATTCAGCTTTAAACACACAAAGTTTCCATGGGAGGGGCTCACAGTCTTTAATCAACCAATGCCTCTGCCCTAACTTAATTTCCACTAATACCCTGATGTGGTTAGTTGAATTGGTCTGATATACTAAATGGAATACATAGATTTAGTTCTTCTTCCTAAGTATGTGGGGTTTGAAACATTCAGTGTTTTGTTCCATGAAGAGTTTATGATTTGAACTTCTCTGTTTGTTTTAACAGGATCGAAAACTTCTTGCCACAGCTCAGCAGATGCTTCAGGACAGCAAGACAAAAATAGAAGTTATAAGGATGCAGATTCTTCAGGCAGTCCAGACCAATGAACTGGCTTTTGATAATGGTGATGGTGTAGAAAGGAAATACGAATCATTAATGTCAGAGTGCCATGTAGATGTGCACCCATATGCTCACAGAGTTACTGTAAATTTCTAGTAGGAACATTTGACAAAGCTTGCAAGCACAAAAAATAATCTGAGTCTAGGCAGAACTTTGTGTGTGTTGGGATGCCAAATCTGTCTTGAAGGAAAATACCTTGAGCTTAATGAAGAGAGATACAATCTCTCTTCAGCATCCTTTTCATAGTTTATGCAGTCCATTTTTGCCTTGTGGTTTTCCCTTCTCCCTTTTTGCATGCTTTCTTTTGTCTTAACAATAACTAGTAATTTTCTTTAAAGCATATAATCTTTTCACTATCCTAAAAAAAACCCCTGATGCAGGTACAAAGCCTGTTTGTCATACTTATTATTACTAATGGGAGCACAGAGGGAGGCAGATTTTTCCTGTCTTTATGGGTATTTGGGCTAGATTAAGTGGTAAACAACTACATTCAGAGCAACAAAACCCCCAGTGTTTTTAAGATAACCCGACGTGAAATACTCATGCTGCATTTCAAAAGTAGTTTTATACCTACATTTCCATGGAAATCTTTAAATAATTTCAAAAATGACTCCTGAACTCTAAAATCTTGAATGTGCTATAAACTCGTGAGCATATTGGTACATCTCTAAGTCTTGAACTTTATTCATATGCATTTCTGAGTTTTGAAGTTGTATGACAATGCTCAGAGCCAGGGCCTGGATATATCCTAGATAATGCAAAATTTGTGTGTGTGTGTGTGTGTGTCGTGTTTTGTGGGGTGTGAGGTGATGGGTTTTCTGTGCTTGTTTTCACACGCTCATTTTTTTACCACCCCATTTTAGCACATGGATTATGTATATCACTTTTTTAAAAGAAAAAGAGCTAGAGAAGGCTTTCAAATGTCTCTTTGTGTTCTTGCTGTTCTTAGGGCTTTAAACAGAAAGAAATATATCCAGAAAATTGTCTGTTTAGGAAATCTAAACACTGTAAGAAGTGAGCATTAGAGTGGTTCACTCGAGCCATTGGGGAAGGCAGTGTGTGGGATTCTCTGTGCTGGCAGAAGCCACATTCCCTGGGATTTCATGTCAAGCAGGAGGATTATCAGAAACAGATCAGGGATCTACTTGGCTACAGAGTAGTTTAAAAGATAAATCCTCAGACTGTAGTTCAGAAGTGGTGAAGTCGCAAAACTTCCTTCTTGCTAGTTGAATATTTGGAAGATTTGGCTTTCATCCCTCAACTCCCCTGAAGCCATGTTCTTTTTCTCACATCCTTGAGCAATTCTAGCTCCTCAAGGAGTAGGGCCTGTTTATTGAACTGAGGCCTTGAGCAATTATTTCTTCACTCCAATGCAGATGCTTAAAATTTCACTGTTGTTTTTATGACATACTTCAAGCTTCTCTTTGCACTACCAAATACACATCTTTTTTTTTTATTCTTTTTTTTATGTTCTTCTCCCCTCTGTTTATATGGGGGAGAGGTTAATAGTAAAGAAATGAAACCTGGATGTTGTCTTCAATGAAGATTGTTTGTTTATATCTCTTTGCAGCAAAGCCTGTGATAAGCCCTCTTGAACTCCGAATGGAAGAATTACGGCATCATTTTAGGATAGAGTATGCTGTAGCAGAAGGTGCAAAAAATGTGATGAAATTACTTGGATCTGGGAAAGTTACCGACAGAAAGGCACTTTCAGAAGTAATTTATGTCATTACAATTTTTGATAGTTTGTTTTAAAGGTTCTTTCAAGAAAAGAAAAGAATTGAATTTTTTCAATATTTTTTTTTATCTTAAAAAGGCACAAGCAAGATTTAATGAATCAAGCCAGAAGCTGGACCTCTTGAAGTATTCACTGGAACAGAGATTGAATGAACTTCCTAAAAACCATCCCAAAAGCAGTATTATTATAGAGGAGCTTTCATTAGTCTCTTCGCCCACATTAAGTCCTCGTCAGAGTGTAATATCTACTCAAAACCAGTATAGTACACTGTCCAAACCAGCAGCTTTAACAGGTATGATTTATGGAGCTTTTTGGCGCCTTTTTTTAAACTTAATTATTTGTTTAAAACAAGTCTTTAGTGCCAACTGTATTTCTTTCTGGATGTATTTAATTGTTGTTCTTTTCCTGGACAAAGGCATTTAGAATTTCCAAGTTCAAAAAAAATGAAAAAATATGCAGATAACTTTCTTTGATTTGTTTGTTGCCCTTTTATAATCTTATTGAAAAAGTGGAGTTCTGGCCTTAAATTAGCTCACTTTGGAATGCTTTTGCTCATGTTTACTCAAGGCCTTTTGTCTCTAGATTATCAAGCACTTAAAGGCAAATCATAGGATCGTGGGATTTTTTAGGGGCTAGAATGGACCTTACAGATCATCTAGTCCCAACCCCTGCCATGGGCAGGGACACCTCCCCACTAGAGCAGGATGCTCAAGGCCTCATCCAGCCAAATAAGTATCATATCCCCATTTTACAGATGGGGAAACTAAGTTGCAGAAGGGTTAAGTGAACTGCTCTGATCATACAAGCAGGTGGCAGAGCTGGAGATAGGCACCCAGCTTTTCTCCCAGTTACTGTTTTACCCACTGGACCTCCCTGGCTTTCTGCAAAGTGAGATTTGTGCTACCAAACCAGGCATTGTATTTCTAGTCCAGGGACTGAGATCCTAACAGATACACTTGCAACCATTGAAGACTCTATTTGTTGGTGTCAGTTGTTTTCCTTGCAATTAAACATGGGGCTGATTTTTTTTTAAGTGACTTTTAAGCTACTGTGAGGGAACAGCACATTTATAGATGAATATAAGACTTAAGAACTTCTCATAATTTGTGTTCACCTGGAGTTATTCTTCCTGAGAAGTTAACTGTTTCAAGGGATGAACCATGCTTTAACAAAGCTCTTGAACATTTGCCTTCTAGTGTCTTAAAAGAAAAACATGATTTTGACTACTTGGGGTATGTTGCTTTACTAAATTTCTTTAATAAGTGGTCATATAAGAATTACTAGAACAGATAAGTTTGATTTCCTGTTTTGTTTCCCAACACATTTTACTGTAACTGTTCAACCTACAATTAACAAAGTAAGTTTATCACAAAAACTCACCTGTAATCTAAATATTGCTGAGGCGATACATGCGTAACTGAAAGCAGAATTTAGTTTTGAAACACTGTGGGGTTATATTTTAAAGCAAAGAGGAACTCTGCTGCTGAGCTGCAATAATAATAATAATAAAATTAAGCAAGTCTACTTGTCTTCCGTTTTGGTGCATCAGAACCTCAACCAAGACTCCTTGTAAAGTTGTGTGGTAAGGGGAACTTTTTTCATCATATGAAATCTGGAATGATCAGTGGCCATGGGCAGGAAGTATCATGTTTTGGGCTTAAAACAGCTTTCTTGGCTTTTTTTTTTATTTGCCTGTAATGCATAATCAAGGGTCAGGTACATTATAGTGACAATTCCTCCTTAAATATGGTTTACTGATACATGTGAACAGCTTTTAATAGAAATTGTCAAGACAGAGCTGCATACTTGCAAAGTTCTTAACAGTTTCACTTTCATATTGACTGCACAAAGAGCTTTTGTGTTGAACTGGATTTAAATGAACAGTGTCTTTGTGTTTTGCCTCTAACACTTTGTGGAAAAATAGAGCAGTGCTACTGTCATACTTCTTAAAGTGCATCAGCATAACTTTCTGATATGCATCCAGTCCTAATACAAGACTGTAGCCTTTCTGCTTATTAATTTCTTTTTTTTTTCTAAACAGAGTTTGGGAATGAAGTGTTCTTTTACCTTTTAACCTGTTTCGGAAGCCAATAGCATCTCTTTGTCTTCATAGCCTAATGCTTAGCTGTCACTTACGGCTGTTAGTTCCCTACAGGTTGGGATTTCTTCTTAGACTGGTTTCTTGGTGTCTGTTCTGTGGGCTATGATGTTACCAGACCATTTTTAGGTCAAGTCTGACTTAAGTTTCTGTTACCAAAGAGTACTTTTAAGTTTCACAGTTCAGTACATTTGCTGTCAAAAGAAGATTGCATTTAGGAGCTGCATTTCTAGCTGACACTATGATTCTGAACTGGCTAATTTTGCCAGTTCTAGCAGTTAACTTTGTCAGTGTTGGTGGTGTCACAGTTCTACAGATGTTATCTTGTACAGGATGAAGGCAGCCTACTGTTTTTGTAACTATCTGTGGTATTCAGATGTTTTTTGTGCTGCTGGAGGAAACTCTTCAATTTGAGCAGCAGCCTCTAGACCCCATTTGGTTAAAGTTGTAGAAGGTTTGGAAGAGTAGCTTCTTGTCTCAGCTTTTACACATACAAATCAGTCAAGTTGGAACAATTTAGTGATTTTTAAATTATATCCTAACTCAAATTTAACTTTAACATGCAGCCGGCAAATGTGATTTCTGAATGTAGTCAAACAAATTTGTAGTTTCAATAGTTATTGAAACTTATTTTGTGTTATTTTGGTGAACTGTTGCTCTTTCTAGAAGGTTGAGTCCCACATATTTGACTTTTAATGCTTTTATTTTCAGTATTTATGTCTGTCTTGGATCTGTCTTTTGATTTCATCTGATATTTCTGTTAGACCCTGCAGGGGTCAGAATGTGAGCTATTGCCATCAATCAGTCAATAGTCATTGGCTTTGCTTACTTAAGAACAGAAGTCTTTGATAAACCATTGTCTGTCTTCTTCTAGGTACCCTGGAAGTTAGACTAATGGGCTGCCAGGATATTTTGGAAACTGTCCCTGGTCGATCCAAAGCCACATCGATTACGTTACCTGGTTGGAGTCCAAATGAAGCCAGATCATCTTTCATAAGCAGACCCAGTAAAAGTAAAAGTGGGAGCAGTAGGAACCTTCTGAAAACTGATGACTTGTCCAGTTCAGTATACTCTTCTCTTATTTTTATGCATGTCTTTTATTTACATTTTCATGTGCCATGTTCTGTAACTTAAAATTCTAAATTGTTGCAAAGCTTTAAACTTACCTATTTCTTCATCTGTCAAGTCATTACCAAAACCAAAAGTACAACCAAGCTATTATAACCATAAGAGCCAATTAAATATGAGATTACATTTTTAAGGGAAACTCACTGGAGGTTTTTTGTTTGCGGAAAATCCTCTTAAAGATTTAAGCTGAGTTTGTGTGCTTTGCTTGCAGATGAAGTCTGTGCTGTACTGAAGCTGGATAACACTGTGGTTGGTCAAACTAGCTGGAAACCGATTTCCAATCAGTCATGGGATCAGAAATTTACACTGGAACTAGACAGGGTAAAAATGTGGCCTCATTCATTGACAACTGTTGTCGATTCTTTGGGTTAATTTCATGTTGCTTTTTCGTTTTCCGCTGTTCCGTAATTTTGTTCAAATTTCAGATGTGCAAGTATTCCCATCCTTCCCAGCATGAGCTCCCTAGGGTTAAGCTGCATTCATGAAATTTTACCTTTTCTGGCCTACTAACTGGTGTGATATTTTTATCCAAGACCTAGCACTTAGTGGGTTTTTAGCCTGTGATATATGGTGCTTATGTTTTTATTTGTTTCATCAGCTTTTCATTCTTTATCAGTAGATTGTAGTATCAGATGCAGTTTGGATATTTTGGTAAAGCTATGTCATGGAATTTTTACAGTGCTTCTGAAGTGTTCTCATGCAAAGCTGATCAGTTCTTCAGGAATAATAAATTTGCTAATAGTTCTGTCCTATAACTTCAAATGTGAGTTGGAGGACACAAGTATTGAATTGATACTTATGAAATAGAATTTGTCATATAAGTTTAATCAAGCAATTAGATACCTGATAGTCATAGTATTTTAAAGTACAAGGATTACTTATTCCAACAGTGTTTAATAGACTGAAAATTAAACTATGTTCTAGGAGCTTAAATGTTACCTCCAGCATAAGTTTAAGACACATGAGAAAAAAGCAGCCACCTTCCTGTTTTTGCTTCCTCCCTGCTGAGCCCCACCCCGTTGAGCCTCAAACCAGATTCTCTCCATCTACGGAGGAAACTGTTTTAGACCTGCAGGTAGAGAAATTTTGATTTGAACCAGAAATAGATTCTGGTTAGGAGTCGTGCAGAACAAAATGAGCAGCTGTGGAGCCCTGAAGCCTTGATTAAGAGTAGATTAAGTGTAGAACTACTCAGTGTAGTTGCTGCTCCTACCAGCCTGCTGTGTGTCATGGTCACTACTTAAGAACTGGGTATTTGATGCTTTATGGTGCCAGAGAAGTACCTTGCTTCGCTGAGCACGGCCGTGTATCCTTAGGTATTTGAAATGCACAATCCAAACATGTTTGAGTTCTGAACTTTTATGTCAGTTAAAACCTGTCATAGACAGTAAACTGATGCATCATGATGGAATTAAAGTAGTTACATCTGATGCTGATGTTGTATTGTATTGCAGGATTCTTCACATTTTGTGACAAGTTTTTGCAATGAGCATATAAGACACCCCAAGAATATATAAATCCCACCAGTGAGATAGAGCAGTGGTTCTTGTTAGTTGAAAGTTTTTGGCCCTTCTTCACAATCATGTTATAAAAACTGTATTTCTAGAGATGCTGTATGAAGTCTTGTGTCATCATGTCTATGCAGGTACTAAACTGTCTGCAGCTGTGAAGTGTAGTCAATACTTGTAAATAATATGGTTGGGGTTTTTAAACACAGAAATTTGTTGTCAGAGCATGAGGTAAAATACCTTGAACAAGCAGTGTTGTTAGACTGACTCAAAGTCTGGTGACTGTGACTCTGTCCATCCACTCCTGGGGGGAATTTTACAGTTATACTTTTATTTGGGCACTGGTGATCACAGCTGAACTGAAGTGAAATGCTGTGATCATCCTAGGGAGAGCTCGTTCAGTCTGGCTGGTTAGCCCTGGCACTCTCCCAAAGTAACAGCTCTGCATCTTGGAGTTGCTAGACCTTAGATTGTACAGGAGTAACTGTTGGAGAACAATTAAAAATAAGTAATTTCCTGTGTGTTTCCTGTCGTAGTCACGTGAGTTAGAAATCTCAGTTTATTGGCGTGACTGGAGATCTTTGTGTGCAGTCAAGTTTCTGAGGTTGGAAGATTTCCTGGATAACCAACGGCATGGCATGTGTCTGTATCTGGAGCCCCAGGGCACTCTGTTTGCAGAGGTAAGAATGTTGCTTTGAAACCCTTGAACATACTTGCAAGTATTTATTGTATTGCAGAGTAGTTTCAGAAGTTTTCCTTAAACTTTTATGAATGCATTTTGTTCTGAAACTTGAATGATAACACACATTATTTGAACTGCAGGTTACATTTTTTAATCCAGTTATTGAAAGAAGACCAAAACTCCAGAGGCAGAAGAAGATCTTTTCAAAACAACAAGGTGATTGTTTAATATAAACATGTAAAGCTTAAAAATTGTATAGATCTGTGATTTATTTTTTTTTAGACAGAGTCCTAATGTTTGCCTGTAATAAAGCTATTGATAATGAAGGATTTGGCATTGCATTTAGAAATGTTTTGTATTAGAATTCCTTATTATGCATTAGCATTTAATAGTGAATAATCAGGAATTGCTAAGGAATATGCCAAATCGAGTTTGTTCTTCATAAACTATAAATTGATTGACATTGGGGTTTTTTAATTATTACTTCTGGTAATAAGGAAGGAAATTATTTGCACTCTGTTTTCTTTTTTTCACAATGTCTATAGGCAAAACATTTCTCAGAGCTCCTCAAATGAATATTAATATTGCCACTTGGGGAAGGCTGGTAAGGAGAGCTATTCCTACAGTGAATCACTCTGGCACCTTCAGCCCCCAAGCATCAGTGCCTGCGACTGGGTCAGTGGTTGATGCACAGATTGTTGGGTAGGTGATCTCTGCAGCTTTTAACTACTCTGAAGTGCAAGAGTAACAGTGAGATGTTTCTGCCCTAATGATGTATGTTGAGCCTGCTTCTCTGCAAGACTGCAGACCTTTCCATGTTTTCATTATGGACATCCATTTTATAGCTAGATACACAAGGTTTGGTTTAGGAGAAATCTACATAACATGCACTTCTAAATTTATTTTCATATGACTAAAACAGTCTCTGCTATACATTGAGGAGTTACTTATTTTCTTGCCAGTGACTCTCCTGTAGCCAAATTGGACTTTGAACTGGAGCCTGAGCCTCCACCTGCTCCACCCCGTGCATCTTCCCTTGGAGAAATATGTGAATCTTCCTCTGATATAAAGGCTCCTGATGTGCCATCTCAGGCAAGTAACTTTTAAGAATTTTGGGTTATGCAGTTTAATAGGATTCTGATATTGGATGGATTTCTTCCCTTATAGATCAGCATAAGCTCCCTTAGCTTCCACGTACAGAACTGTCTCAAGAGAATCCTCTGATTGCTATTGGTGGCAAACTGTTTCCATGGTTGGTGTATTTATCTCTCCATGTCATTGGTTCCACCAGACAAAAAACAAAAGCCCCAAATCCTTAGAGCATTCAGGATGAAAGAGCAGAATGACTGGAGCAGTAGGTTTCATCAGTCTGTGAAAAGTTTGCTTATCTATATCATCTGAAAGTGCCATTTTAGCCTGGGTAATGGGTGTATTAAGAATTTCACATACTTATAATAAAACTTCTGCATTCATTTTCTTCCACAATCAGTTTTAAACTTTCAGATCTCTTTTTCTCCACAGGATGAAGTAACAACTTTTGATTTTGAAAATGGCAGAAATAGTATTGTCCCAAAACTCCAGCCTGAAATAATCTGTGAGCCTGATGCTTCCCATTCAGACATGAAATACACCAACACCAGAGAACCTGAAGACAGAAGGTAAAGCAGTGATTTGCTGTTGATCTGAATAATATTTCTGAAAGTTAACAGACTAGAAACTTTACAACTGTGTTTTTTTATTCCCATAGATCGCAACAAAGATTCCAGTTCAGTCTGAAGGATTTCAGATGTTGTGCTGTACTGGGCAGAGGACATTTTGGAAAGGTAAATATCAAAAGGCTACATCAAGTGTCAGGACTATATCAAAAACTAGATACAGCTCTGAAATGAATCTCTTCTGTTTTAGGTGCTGTTGGCAGAGTACAAAAACACAAACGAGATGTTTGCTATTAAAGCCTTAAAGAAAGGAGATATTGTCGCTCGTGATGAAGTAGACAGGTCAGTTTGTAAAACAGAACACATGGATTCCATCAATGAGTTGTTTTCTTTCTGCCTGCAACAGCTGTAAGCTCTACTGGGCAGTGGTTGAATTGAGTGGAGGAGCAAAACAAGTTGTCATGTCCCTGAGTAGCTGCTGCAGACGTGTAGTGTTTCTTCTGGGGCCAGGAGGGAGTGGTGGCACCAGGAATGCTGGTTTGGTTTAGTGCTCCTCTTGCCATGCCTGTAGTACAGCTCTGACTTAGAGCTGGTCCTGGTCCTGGTTTTCATTTGGGTTCTCTTGCAATTATTTATTCTAATTACTTGTTCTATAGATTTTCATCACATTTCAGGATGACAGTGACTGTTTTCTTTACTTGCAAACCCCTGTGTTGGTCTTTCTCAACCTGTAACATACTGTCATACTTTGTCCAGCACATTTTTGTCTGTGTATGCTCCACTGCTGGGTTTTTTTAATCTTTTTGACCCAAAATTCAGGGGGTTTTTTTATTGCTTGAAGGGGCTGTTACAAAACTGCTTAGTTTTAGCACAAGAAGGTGCTTTTATAGCTTTAATAGTGACTATGTTCATTTGCAGGAAGAAAGGTAACTGTATTAAGAATGAGCTACAAATTAACCAATTGGTTTAGGAGAAATAATCAGGAATTACTGTAGATATCTATAATATTGCCACTGGTTTTCTACTTTACATATTATATATAATTAAAGTAAAAGCAGATTGAAGCTAATGTCATGTAGTATCAATTCATACATAGTGCAATCCGAGTATTTGGAAGGAAAATTGTTAGGGCACAATTTTCATGGATTACTAGGTTTCCTGTTTTCATGGAAATCCAGGCATCAACTTACTGTGTGTGCAAGTATTAAAGCCTCTGTCTTGAAACAAATGTTGCTGTCTTG